CGCAGCTTGGGCGGGGTGGGGGTCCCAGGGAATCAGCAGGGCAGAGCAAGCAGCTATGGCTGCCCTCAGAGGCCCTGCTTCTCAGTGTCCCGACAATCGCTGCAAGGACCTCGGAGAGAAAGCTGCCCTCAAGTTCCAACCAATGCCAGACAGTCCAGTTTTTCCCATATGAGTCTGGGTCTCAGAGACACGCCTGGAACTGGAGCTCAGAGCTATATAATAAAGAACTAATATGCTAATTAGACCAAACAGCAAAACAACTGTCCAGATGAACTTCCAAATGAAGCCGGGGCTGGGAGGGCTGAGCCCCATGCACAAATTTTGTGCATCAGGCCTCTAGTTTTTTATAATTAAGCTGGCTAACATTACGTTATTAGATTTTTTTAATTTTTTAATTAATTTTTAGAGAAAAAGGGAGGTAGGGAGAAAGAGAAAGAGAAACATCAATGTGAGAGCAGAACATAGATTGGCTGCCTCCTGCATGCCCCCTACCAGGGATGGAGCCCGAAACCTGGGCATGTGCCCTGACTGGAAATCAAACCAGCAACCTTTTGGTGCATGGGACAATGCCCAATCAACTGAGCCACACCAGCCGGGGCTATTATTAGGATTCTTAAAATTAATTAATATCCACTATCAATGGTATATTTATATAAAACTTAAGTTCTTTCATCAACTAAAAGGACAGTTTTCTTGTATCATTGGTCTGTTCCTGATAAGATTTTACAGTTTGTTTGTTTGTTGCACACAAAAAACAAGTTCTGCATATGATGTTATTTTAATGAGGTCCTTACAAAAACAGACTCTTCTCATTAAGTGTTTATCTTCCTGGCCCTATCTATGACATTAACAGTGTTGATCACTCCCTAAAATTCTTCTCCATGGCCCCCCTTGACATTATTCCTTTCTGACTTTCTTCTTGCCTGTCTGGACACACCCCTTCTAGTCTCTTCCTGCTTTTCTTTGGCCACTCTTTGGCAGACACTACTAGCTGCCTACCCCCACCCCCACCACAACCCCACCCCCCCTTGCTCCTTTCTGATGGAACCCTGATTTTGTTGATTCCTCCCTCCTCTAATTGGCAATGCATTTTCCACTTGTTGAGCTCAGTACTCTGAGATAAATCCTGGTTAGTCTAAACCACTGGTTCTCAAAGTATGATTCCAGGACCAGAAGCATTAGCTTCAACTAGGAACTTGTCAAAAATTCAAATTCTCAGACCTCACATCAGACTTAGTGAACTAGAAGCTCTGGGGGTGGAGCCCAGTTATCTGTGTTTTAACAAGCCCTACAGGTAGGTGAGCCTAACACATGCTCAAATTTAAGAACCACTAGTCAAAGCCAACCATGATGAGTGGTCTTATTCCCCGTCCCAGTCATGGCATTGGGCATGCATAAGTGATGAAATTTTTGCTAATGATAAATGAGAAGAAGTCTGCTGTGGGAGGGGGTCCTGGGAAGGGCTCTTTGCTTCTAAAAGAGATACAAGGAAGAGATCCCTCTGATGGACACTGTTTGTTGGACGTGATGCCTGGGACCGCTGTAGCCAGGTTTCACCATGAGGACAGCAGCCTAAAGGCAAGCCAGGAGGTTGACAGTGGCCGAGCAGAAAGATGGAAAGGTTCTGTTGTGGGTTGTGTTGTGTCTCTTGCCCTCCCCCAGAGATATAGTGAAGTCCTCACCTCTAGTAAGTACCCCAGAATGTACTCCATATTTGGAGATGGGGTTGTTACAAACGTAATTAGTTAAGATAAGGTCAAACTCGAGTAGGGTGGACCCAAAATCCAATATGATTGGTGTCCTTATTAGAAGAAAAGAGAGACACCCAAAAGATGGAGACAGAGAGTGGAGTCTCTCCCATGGATTTCAGAGGGAGCGAGATGCTGCTTGACTTTGGATTACTAGCCTCCAGAACTGTGAGACAATAAAAGTCTATTGTGTTAAGCCACCCAGTTTGTGTGACTTCCTTATGGCAGTCCTAGGAAGCTAACACGGGGTCCTTGTGATCTATACACCAACCCTACAGCCATCCTGTCTGGAGATTACTTGTTATGTTAATAATTTTTTCTTATTATTTAAGCTAGTTGGATAGAGTTGTTTTTTGTTTGTTTGTTTTTCCAGATTTATGCAATATGGTTGACACATGGTATTGTGTAAGTTTAAAGTGTTGACAAGGAGAAAATTCCTTAGTGTCCTAGATTAAATTACAGCAGGCAGGAGGGTGGCGGGGAGAGATAAGGGAGGTAAAATCAGTTCATAGCTGCAGGCCAAAACCCAGCAAGATTGCTTACATTCCCGAATGCCTGTTGAAACTTTGAATTAACTTCCAGGTGGTTATTTTCATGATTATCTGGAGAATAGCTGACCACCAGACACCACTGCATTCTGCTTAGGCAGGAACATTCTGGACTCTTGCCCACTATCAATACAAAAAGAGCAAACACTTCTTCCTTACTGACCAGCCACCTGTCCCAGAACCAGCCCGATTCACCTCCCCCCACC